ATCCTTTTCAAATCAATAAATGCGCATGGCATTTGATTTGCTATATTATGTAAATGGATGATCTTCTGGACCTCCTGATTACATATGGGGGTGTGTGGATCAAAGTGAGATAATGATGAAACTTTTCATACAATTTCTCTTTTGATTTCCTTTTTCTCTCCCCCTAATTGTGGGAAATTTGTTTCATCAAATCGACAATCTGCAAATCGAGCAGTAAATAAATCTCCTGTCAATGGTTCAAGATAGCGAATAATAGAGGGTGATTCAAACCCAATATATATTCCTAACCTTCTTTGGGGAGCCATCTTACTGCGTTGTGGTGGTACTACTGGCACATATACGGCACATCCAAAAATTCATAGATGGGCAATATTTGGTTCATGACCAAAAACTAAATGTGACGGAGAATATTTATTATAATGTGTTGGTCTGAGACGGATAAGTGATGATGCGTGCAAGATAGCATGGCCCCAAACAGTAGTGGGCAATTTTGTTTTCATAAGTAGTGGTCTTGCTATCAATTGCAGTCGTTTAATAAATGACTCTGCAAGGCCATTCTGAGTATGAACATAAGATATAGGATGTTCAACTTTTATCCCAACTGATAGACAGTAATCATCAAAAGCTTGAGATGAGAATTCTCCAGCATTATCAAGGCGAATAGCCTTTATAGGATAATCTGAGAATTGTGCCCTTAATCGAATTATTTGGGCTAATAGCTTTGCAAACGCCAGGTTGCGAGATGATAGTAGGCACACATGAGACCATCTTGAAGATGCATCTATTAGGACCATAAAATATCTAAACAACCCACTTGGTGGGTGAATAGGTCCACATATATCCCCATGTATACGTTCTAAAAAGGTAGGGGACTCAATGCCAACCTTCATTGGTGATGGTCTAGTGATCATTTTGCCTTGATAACAAGCATCACAAGAAAATTCATCATTTGTAAGAATCTTCAAGTTCTTTAATGGATGCCCACTCGAATTTTCAGTAATTCGTCTCATCATTATTGATCCAGGATGGCCCAAACGGCCATGCCAAAGCACAAAAATATTTGAATCAGTAAACTTCTGGTTTACGATAGAGTGTGCTTCAACTGTACTAATAGTTGAATAGTATAAGCCAGAAGATAAAGTTGGTAACTTTTCTACAATACATTTCTGGCCAGAAATATTCTTTGTAATACAAAGATATTCCACGTTCATTTCATCTATTGTCTCAACATGATACCCATTTCGGCAGATATATATAAAACTCAACAAGTTTCTTCGGGATTTGGAGGAGAACAATACATTGACGATAATAAGTTTTGTTCCCTTAGACAGAAATACAGTAGCTCTTCCAGAGCCTTCAATCAAACTTATATTACCAGAAATTGTTGAAACATTTACTTTTTCCTTATGCAAATAAGAAAAGTATTTCTGATCTTTGAATATGGCATGAGTTGTTCTACTATCGATTACACAAATATCTTCATGATTGGTCTTTGATCCAAATATAATGTGAGGATTATCCATATTCTTCAAAATGACATAAAGAAAATAAATATGATAGTAAACATCATTTTCAAAGCATAACTTTTATTTATGTACAACAATTACATAACCATACTATCTACTCCAAACAACAAAAATTAAAATATTTACATTTCTACAGATTCACTACCGATCACATGACTTATTTCTCCTTCTAGGAGTGCAAAATAACCAGCTACATCCAAATGCATGAAGTCTAAATTATCTTCGAAAATAAAATTTGCTTCAGCATATTTCTCTGTCTTCTTCAGGGAGGCTAGATGCAGCTCAACCAGGTGCTTTGGCGTACGACATGTACGTGACCATTGCCCTTTTCCTCCACATCTATAGCATGCATTTTCTGGCTTTGCTGCTTGCACCGCTTCATGCTTTTGGTCCTTCCTTTTCCACTGCTGGTGGTGAGGAGGGTTCTTTGGTGCATTGTTATTACCAAGATTAGAGTTTTCTCCACGACCACGGCCATGACCACGACTGGCCCCACATCCTCTTCCACGCATAACTTGGTGGAAGTTCGTCTCATTCACTTCAGGGAATGGACAAGAACCAGTAGGTCGGCTTTCATGATTTTTCATTAATAGCCCATTATGTTGCTTGGCTACAAGAAGATGTGAGATAAGTTCAGAATACTTTTTGAATTCCATCTCTCGATATTGTTGCAAGGGCATATTCGAGGCATGAAAAATGGTGAAATTTTTTTCCAACATATCATGATCAGTAATATTATCACCACATAGTTTCAATTGGAAAATAATTCTGAACATAGCAGAATTATACTCACTGATAGATTTAAAATCTTGTAGCCTTAGATGAGTCCAATCATAACGTGTCTGTGGAAGAACGACCATCTTCAGGTAGTCATATCTATCTTTCAAATTATTTTACAGTATGACTGGATCTTTAACAGTAAGATATTCCATTTTCAGGCCCTCATCAAGGTGGTGGCGTAGGAATATCATTGCTTTGGCACGTTCTTGGTTTGATGCCTGATTTTTATCTTTGATGGTGTCTGCTAGACCCATCACATTAAGATGAATTTCGACATCAAGCACCCAAGACATGTAGCTTGTGCCCGATATATCGAGGGCTAGAAACTCAAGTTTAGAAAGATTTGGCATTATTTAGAAAAAGAAAGTTCGTAATTCTGATACTTTCAAAGTATTTTCTCGAGATGGCAGAGTCTCGTGCTGATAACGTGTTATAAAATAAAGACAGTAAAGTAAAGACAAGTATAGAGAGAAACTGATATATTATTCAAGCTTCAAACTTATGTACATAATAAACTGAATTTTCCTCTATTTATAGAAGAAAGGAAGTTGTTGTGTAAGCTGCTACTGCAAGCTGCTTGTAAGCTATTGTGCAAGATATAGATAATCTTCTACCATGGGTAATATTTATCCATAACGGAGTACTAAATAGATAAATATATTTACGGCGGAGTCTCATATGGATAAGCTTATTCAGGAAGCTTATTTACAACGGAGTACTAAATGAACATCCATAATATAATATATTTATAACAAAAATAACTGTAATAAGCGACAATAATTATGTGCAACCACACATCACGTGTTTAAATATTGTTAACGATATATTTTCTAGTCATTAAATGGTGGTTATGTTTTAAATAGCATCCATAAAACTGGCTATCTGATGTCATTTATATTTTTATTGAATGCTCAGGCCCATATCCGCCTTACCAGATCATGGGCCTAAATACCAAGTCCAAGTTAGCTAGGTTGGACCCAGCCTGCTTTTAGGACTCCAACTAAAAGTTTTGTCATTTTCTTTAGATGATTTTTCTTTAAACACTGAATTTGGCCGGCTATTGTGTAATAGTCCCATAACCTAAATAACTGCTTAACCGCTTATACTAAAAATAGTCAGAGAATGCATAATATTTGTATAGTGCATGTATAATCTATGTATATTATATGTATAATATGTGTTAATTTATTAACACCGGATAGAAAATATAAATTATAAATCTGACCGGCTATTTGCGTAAAATTGATATTTTTGTCGTCTAATTCTCTATATTACACATTTGAGAAGTAAATAGTTTTGCGTATTTGTATTTCATAATAGTATCGAAGTAATTGGATATATGTTATTAGTGTGTGCCTCGACGGGCCAATTGCAAGCTATTAGTCCAAGTCCATATTGTTTTTTTTGTTCTATGCCCTCTATTATATTATTTAATTAACCTAAATAACCGTTCACCTAATCAGTTAAACTAAAAATAACCGTCATATATATATATATATATATATAATATGTATAATAAGTGTATAATCTATGTATACCGATTAAGAAAAGCAAACGATAAATTCGTCCGCCTATTTGCTTAAAGATCCCTTTTCTATTCAACTGAAGGTCTGCAGGCCCATGCTAAATAATATTGTATATTTATTTTTTAACCCAATGAACCAAACATCTACTAATAATAGTATATTCATTAAATAATCCCGTTATTATTAATTCTCATATAATAATCCTGGTATAACTTGTTTGCAAATGAGACGATCCCTAGATGTTATACGGTAAAGTCAATTATACAATGCCTTAGCAGACTATTTCAAAACATTGAGATATATTACCACTTAGAAACTTTAATGACTTTCTTGCTTACTATTATCTTTTTTCATTCCTAATGATTCAGATCTTGAAACCAATGTATCATTTGCTCCTCAACTCCTTATTGATCTAATTACGAACAATACTTATCTCTAATTTCCGAGGAAGAGAATGCGAAAGAAAGAAATGAAATCGTATATACTTTGCCGTAATTTTTTTACATGCCTTTTAAATAGTTTGAATTAGCCTGTAAAGGTTGGCTGAGTTGGTTGGGTGAGTAATTTTTCACATGGAAGACCTGAGATCGATTCCCCTCACCAGTAGCCTTTCAGTCTGAGCTCGTCGCCCCGGAATTACGTAGTGCAGTTTACATCTCTTGTGTGGTTTGCGAACTATTGCACAATAAGCAAGTTACCCAATGCGCACCCGAGGATAACGGTTGAGGGTTTACCTAGGTATTTTAATAAAAAATATTGTGACTTATAGTATTTTTACGCAATTTTTAAATATATAAATTTTATTTTCAAAAACATAAAATTTTTATGTCCAAATACACGATTAAATTAGAAAATTTAAATCTCAAAAAATAAATGTATCACACAAATTGGAACAGAGAGATTATTGTTTTATTATGGTTAACAAGGTGGAGATATGATTGATATGTAAGTTTCTTGGCAACTTACAGAACGATATAATTAAGGGAGATATTTGTAGCCCAATAGTGAAGGAATTTAGCAATTAACGCAAGATCTTTGTACTACAAATAGTGTAATACAAGGAAAATATTTACGCGTACTATATGCTTACACCAAATCAAATAATTCAACCTTATCAATTACCAATTAGAAGTGTGAAAACATGTCACTTAATTATGATCGATAGATCGATAAATATGTGCATGAAAAACACATATCTCGTATTAATTAGTTTGATGTAAGCAACAGAATACAGTACGTAAATTGTTTCAATATATAATACATGTCTTTCAATTTTTCCACACCCAAAGATCTTTTCCATTTTGCCAACTTAAACGACAATTTGATCCTTCTTCTCCACCCATCAAACAAGCATAAAGCTCATCAAATTGCAAATTAGACTCACTATTATTTTTTACCAATGAACAACTCACATCTTCTTGGAAGCTAGAACTCACTACTACTTCCTCACAACCACTAGAAATGGAATTAGCTGCAATTAAAGGAATTAATCCTTGTGTTTCCTCATGTCCTTGTGCTTTTTTACAAGCAACTAACATCTCATTTACCTTCTTCAACTCGACTCGAAGACGTTCATTTTCTTTCTCAATCTTCCTCTTCTCAGCTAATGCAGTGTCAAGCTTATGTTGGAGTGCATTGTAGTCAAGCCCGAGGCTTTGGTTCTTCCATCTAGCTCGTTTGTTCTGGTACCTGTGGAAGACATAATTAAGTAAATAAAAGTATGCTTTTTCCGATAGCTTAAGTTTTTAAATGAAATGATCATATAATTTAACAGAACGTGCATACCATATAGCAATTTGTCGTGGAGGAACACCCAACTCTTTAGCAAGTTGGGTTTTTTGCTCTGGCTCAAGCTTCTTTGTTGAATCAAAACTCTCCTCCAACCTCTTGACTTGGTCTTGATTTAGCCTCTTTTTGTTGTGGTTCAATATAGATTGGTGTTTATGTAGGTATTGAGAATTCAAGAAATTATTCATGTTAGAGAAATGAGATAAAGTTTGGGAATTTGTAATGAAATGGTGTAATGCTTTTATGTTGTTGCATTTATACAAAAAAAAAATTCAAGTCTTGAAAATATTTTTAAATTATTCTTTTGAATTGTTTAATATACATAGGGAAGGTTCAAAATATTTGTGTAGGGATAGGGCTGACTTCTCATGCAGAGAGTTTGATGTTCACGTGAAGTTGGTCCTACTATGTTATTAAAGAACAATATTTTTAGTAAATTAACATTTAGATTATTTAACTTTATTATCCGATACAGATTAAGGAGTTGATAATCTAATAAAGTAACAATATCTTTCTGTTTTTTAAGAAAAAAATAATAATACCAAACTAGTTTCAATGTCCGTATCATGTACTTGGTCATCTTTTTGTTGCTCCACTACAACAATATTTCATTTTAAAAGACAAAAAAATATTAAAGGAAGAGAATAGAAAGAAAACATATCCAGATTAATGCCATCCATTTTTTTTGTTTTGGTGATCAAAGCTAAATTTTAAGAGAGCATAGCTGTATATATGCAATAATATATATTCCTTATAGTCCTTTTGAAAAGAATATTCAGTTCTTTGATAAATGTTTAGTTGAGATTTTAGGCCGATCAAATTTTTGTAGCAAGCCATTTGTTAAAAGGAAAGTTTTTTCAATACAAGAAAGATATTTGAAGTAGTACACCAATAATTTCTTAGTTAACTTTATTTAATCAACTATTTTACAATCATTTAAAAAAATTATTTTGACCATTTCTAACTTTATCTATATCATCTAGTCCTTTCTTATTATGCCCATCACCAATCCGAAATCAACAATCTTGAAATGACATTTCTTCTTAATTTGGTACCTTATCAAAAAAAATTATTGGGTTGGGTTCATCTATAAGACATGCTAATTAACGCATTAGCTCATTAACTTTAAATCCTCCTAAATCATACTTATAATTTATAAATACATTATAATGGGTGTAGAAAGATAAGATTTTTCTAACGTTTTTTTTTTTGTGGAAAACAAACGACGTTTAGGGACTAGCTACACAAAAATATTCTTGCATCACTAGAAGATGTTTGTGTTGTGAAAATAAGGGAGTTCATACCTCTTGTGAGGATTCCCAACAACCGGTAACTCAAATTGCTGCAGATCTATCTCCGTAAGGAGAAACCCTTAAGTCTTCTAAACTAATTCCGTCGTTTATTTTTAGTTGTTCACTTTTGATTTTGCACTTCTTTTAAGAAAAAAATAAATGAAGTATATATTTTATAATTTTTTCCATAATAAACATAGTATTTCCAAAAGTCTTAGAAAATGAGTAGTTAATGATAAGGATAAAATATGAAAAAGAAGATTGTTTTTTTCTTAATTTAGTATAGAGAACAAATAAAAATGAAAAATTATATTTTTAGTATAGTGAACAAATAAAAATAAACGAAAAAAAGTATTACTTATCTCAGAACAGTACATACCCAAAAAAAGCATTTCTTCTTTTGGTAGAGTTGAACTAATGTTTGTCAAAAAATGTAGGCTGCTGGAAGGGCATAACATTCCCCACAAATTAAATAATGGTAGTTGGAATCTTTGTTCATGCACCTGAGGGTTTATGTAATATTGACATGACTACTGATTTCTATTTGAT